AAAAAAAAAAAAAAAAAAAAAAAAAAAAAAAAAAAAAAAAAAAAAAAAAAAAAAAAGCCCAGATAAGAAGGAACCAAAACAAAAAACCAAACTAAGAGAAAGGCTCCACAAATATTAAGAATAAAAAGTATAGGATAACTACAGAACTTTTTGTCACCGAGGAAGATATTAAACCTAACAATAGATTAATACTCCCCCAAGACCTCTCCTCATCCCTAAAATTTCTTCTATTCTTCTCAAGCCAGATATTCCACCAAATGGTCAAAAAGCAGTTTTCAACTTTTGAATGCCATGTATAACTATTGGAATGTCGTAGGCACGTCAATACATCCATCGATATATTGTATGGAGGGTCGACATCAATATTAAGGGGTAATCAATATTTGAATATATTAAAAACCTAAAAAATAAGAATAAAAAATCACTAATAGAAATATACATGCAAAAACACGCTTTATAGCTTAATTAAAGTTTAAATACTTATTTATTAATTGAAATAATTTATATATATATATATATATATATATATTCTGGTTTCTCATAATATTAATATTTTTTTAATCAATATCCATTAGTACTTCTACACAACTTAGATTTCAACATTTTCATCAACACTAAAATTTAGTCCCGGCATGCATCTAACTCAATAAGATTCAAGGGCCAAGAAAAATTCTCCAGTTATGCATGACATGTATCTGCCCTTGCGTGTACTTGCAAGCAATTGCTACAATCACTTAAGAATTTTTGTGACGATTGCTCAGTTTCCTCTCAATCTAACTGCTCCAAGGTTTATAATGAAATAACCAAAAGCATTGATTACATAAGACAACCGAAATGCTATATAACACAAAAAATTAATTATGTCATGGTGTGACCAATAACACCAGTCAACAAAGATTAAGTTTAGAAAGTTATGACAACACAGTTGGATTATTTGCTAAACACCCCAACATGTCCCTTACTAGTACTCTCACATTAACCTTTCATCTCTCCAAAGATTGAACCTTCTTAAAAAATGCAGCGAAAATGCTAAATTAGAAAGCACTAAAAGATTGTAAAAATACCTTGGAATCTCTTGCAATGCTCACTAAAAGAGAAGTCTTATGTCTGGGTGCAACGACCAAGAGAAGAAGAAAAACATTAGAACATATCATCATAGTAATGAGAGAGTTCTCTACAGAAATAAAAAAGAAGGTTACTGTGTGTTAAAACAGAGATGATGCTACAAGAATTGAGGCAATATTTTCGTAATTACTGGAAAGACTTCCACGTGAGCACATGAATTTACAAAGTGTTGACACCACAGCAAAATGCTATCAAAATAGAACTGGATATCAGAATCTATGTTTCAAAGTGCTTGTATGTTCTAAAGGTCCAACTCTGAATTCAACCAGTCTAAATATTCCATATCCTTATGATATCTAGGTTTGATGAACTTAGAAAGAATGTCACGGCTATACTGGCTATGACCTCGAAAACATTTCTGACAAGAACCCTATAAAAGGTAAGGCCACAACAAAAGGAAAGGGGTTAGGGACATTACTTTTGAATTTTAAACTCTGGGTCGATTAAAAACTAAAAAGATAAAAATAAATAAAAATCAAATTGAGAAGAAACGCAAAGGAAACATATATCCGATCTTGAACCTGAAGATCTAATACCAAATGATACGTGGAAATCACTACAAGGGGAGTAAGATTCGGATTACCTTGGTGATTTGAATCTCAAACAATGTTCTTGCCTTGAGATATTCGATCAACAAGGTAATCCGAATCTTACTCTCTTTGTAGTGATTTCCACATATCAACTTTGTAAGACAAGCTTAAAGGCATATTAACCTTGATTGACAAATAAACAATTAAAGGATAATGATATGGCTTCCAAATTCATATCATGAAATTTTCCAACCAATTTTCAAACTTGTAGCAATAAAATATGGATCAGGAAAAAACAAAGTGGCAAAAAATGTAGAGTATCTACTTCTAGCGACTGAAAAAGAATTAATAAGAGGACCAATTCATGATTTCTGCCCATACCTTCCACCACAATCGAATCGAGTGATCAGAACTCGAAGTTACCAAAAAATTTCCAGATTTTTTCCCTTCACTCCTAAACAATGAAGTTTCTGTAAGGGGAAACAACCTGCAAATGAAATCATATTTCAATAGCCAGCTAAGAGAGCATTTCAACGAGTGCCAAGTTCAATTAAAGCAAAGGATGGAAACAACTAGAATATAAATCATTAGAACAATCAAACCAGTTCCCATGGAAAATACTCACATCTCACCTCATACAAGTGATACGCGCATTGTGATCATTCAGAGTGGTAAGAGAATGACTCCTGCCAAAAATTTTGGGGATTTTCATCATTCGAATTGAGGAGCCCTAACCAACAGAAAATAGCAAAAGGTGGGCAACTAGAAACAGGCTAATTCACTTGGCATCAACTCCAACAAACCAGTCAACAAAATTGAAGGCAATCCAGATCAAAGTAAAAGAAAAGGTTACACAAATAATTTCGAAAAGAATTCAAACAATCTATCCAAAAGCATAAGGCTATAAGGCACGGGTTCGGTCAACATATCAACAACCAATGGATCTTCAAATTTGCAGGTGGTGGCGAGATTGAAGATGTCGTGGAGGTTGAGGAATGTGGCGCAGTGAGCCAGAGAGTCTTCATTCAAGTCGGTAATGGCGGTCGGCAAGCTCTGATTCTGGTCCATCGATGGCGATGGTGATTGGTTTTGCAGGGTTTACAATTTCCAAAATCTTCAACAGAGCAAAACCCCCGACAGGAAATGGGATTTTGCAAATTTGATCTCTATCCCCTCCTCCATGCAAATCTTTCAACACCACGGCCATTCCATTCTCATGCTCTATTAAAGTGAGGTGGAAATGTAATTTAAAATTGAAATATTTCCAATCTTTCAAAAATTTTAAAAATAGTTCAAAAAATAATCTTAAAACCGGTTTGATTAATATCCAACTTTTTAAGAAAATTAAAAATATTAATACCGTGTAAAAAAAATGTTGATTAATTTTAAAAAATAATATTAACATCGATATTTATTTTTTTTAAAAATTCCATATTAATAGAAAAGTATTTTTATATTTTTTAAAAAGTAAAAATAAAATTAAAAAAATTAAAGAATATTAATAAAATTTAAGGATATTTTTAAAAAAAAATTAAACACTTTTACGAGTTTAAATTTTTTCTTTTAAGTTGAAGATATTACTCAAATTTTTGAAAGTTTAATATTATTATTTAACCTATTCCATCAATTTAATGTTAATTTAATAAAAACACTTCTTTATCGATTTATTTCAAAATATCTCTCAATGGAATGTTTCAATAGCATTCTTAAATTTTCAAATGAATTATCGTTTAAAAAATATAAACTAAACTTTCAAAGTTTTATTATCATCTTTACAAGTTAAAAAGAAAAACTATTAAATTGTATTAACACTCTTATAAACGTTTTAAAATAATATCTTTATTATATATAAATGTAATACTTTATGCTCGGCATTTCATAGTTCAGGCATTCCTTTGCATGACCAGTGAGAAAGATCTGTTATGGGCTCATCAAGTGTCGAATCTAAATTTTGAATCATAATCTGAATTCTAGTCATGAGATGTTACAAATGGTACCAGAGTAATATCACTACTAGTAAAATATGGTATAGTGACGAACCAATGCAGAAGCTAGTGAACATGTGATACTCAAGTATGAATGATACATGAACGAACTGAGACTACATATGAATGAGAGTAATCTTGAGATAGGATGAATAGCTTAACGGAAATGATGAAAGTTGCTATCTATACCAAACAAGATGAAAAGAAGCAAAGAGTAGGTAGCGTGAACATGTCTCAATCTTAACCTCGTATTCATACTATAGAGGAGATTCGAAAGATTAAAAACTTCAAATTTCGAGACTGCTATTCCTCGAGGTATGGGAAAGATATCTACGACATTCAGATCTGCTGCCACTCGCTATCAAATCTTCATACTTCTTTGAAATCATCTGAATGATAGCTTATTAGGCATTGTTAAAGGCCAATACATTCTTCCATTCAGATCATCGACCTATATTTCTAGAGTCTCGATCCTAACCATTAATTTGTAGACAAATATTTCGATTCAAGGCAACCTGCCATTTCATCGATCATATCGGCTTTAGCGACAATCTAACATAAAGAAGATTGCCACTAAAGAAAGAGAAGCTATAAGTTTAATTCTGGATATTGCCAACAAAGCTAGAAGTTTAATAAAGTAGGTATGAGGATCAAAATTGGAAAAAGAAACCACTAAATCATAAGATGAATCTTGAAAGAAACACAATACCTGTCTGTTTGTTACCCCCTTTTCCTCCTTCCTTCTGGCCTTGAATAGCGGACTAACAAAACAAAGCTGATTCAACAAGGACTTATTACATAATAAACTCAATTTCATCTCCCACATATGTCGTACGATTCTTGTGGGTACAATAACTTCTCACTCAATTTTAAACCATTAATACATCAAAAAAACGCACTTATTTAGACATGAAGTCTAGCATGGAAAGAATGTATGAACCCCCCATCTCGACAGCACAATATAGGATAAGATGGAGACGAGATTTTACAGTAAATTATGCAAAAACAGGAAACAAATGTGATCAAGTAGACAGCCCCCCCTTTCTTTTTCTTTTATCAGACTAAAATATGAAGACGACGCTGTCGTGAACCCTTGACTTCTGATTCTGAGCAACGCATTCCGAGATCCACATTAGGTTCCTAATCTCTTGTTCCCTCAACCTCATGTATGCAAAGAAAACACCATAATGGAACTGCATGTAAAGAAGATCTAGATGTTACTTGGTTCAATTATGTCAAATTTGTGTAAGTTGAAGTAACCGAACTTCCAGTCGACCTCCGAGAGAAATCAGGATTTGTGGAATTAGAACAAACCTGTTGCTCAAATGCTAAGCATAGCCTTTTCACCTCCTCTTCATAGAATGCCTTGTCAAGCATCTGGCTTTCTCCATATGATAGCTTGGAGAAAATGGACTGGTAGGGAGGGTATTTTTCCATGGCACCACGAACCTGAAATACGAAGTAAAAGAGGCTTCAATATAAGTCAGAAATTAAACCAAATTTATCATAAACTACAATATCACAAATTTTCTTACACGTGAACTTTGTTTTAATTAAAAAAATTAATTGTTGCATCTGTTTAGTCCCTAAACTTCCAAGAGTTCTAATTTTGTCCTTGAATTTTTCATTTTGGTTCAAATACATCCCTACCCTCAATGCGTCTACTTAAACGTGGATACTAAGTTATGATTTGACACTAGACAGTACGACAACTAGATAAAAACAAGGGTAAGCAAGCCAAAAGTTCAGTTTTGCCCATCAAATTTTTTTACTCATCTATCCTTATTTTTAACCGACGTACTCCCTTGAATGATTGGATGATGTTGTATGAAATCATCACATATTAGTTCAGTTAGAGCATCGTGTCAAATTTAAGTAACAATATTATTGATGGAGGACTTGGACTTGGAATCAAAATTTAAAGTTTATGGAATTAATTATAACTTTTTAAAGTTCAAGAACTAAATAGACAGAACCAACCATAATCAAAGATCAAGTAGTAAACTTTTAATTTGATCAGTCACTTGCACTTTTGTATTCTTACTATTCATGAGAAGTCAATTTTCCACAAATGGAAACCAAATCAGCAGCCCAGTGTTACAACTTGTACATAATGTTATAACTCAAATTCATGAGTACCCAAATCTTATGACTCAAACTCATAAGTACCTGATCAATATCCTCACAGATTGCGAGCTCTTCATGACCATAGGGGTAACTGTTAATAAGGAATTTCATTAGGTGATGGTCCACTCGGCATATAAGTAATTTAAAATATATTGAGATTAAGAAACTGCTTACAGTAAACCAAAATTGGAATATAACTTCCTTCGGTCATCTCGGGTAAGCTCAGTGCCAATACTACAATAGATGAGGTGCACTTAATCAGAAAAGATGTCTGAGCATAATAATCAACACAAGAGAAAAGAAATACGGGGACCCAACAAATATTTATTGACCAGCATCAAGATACCTATTTATGGTAATATTGACAGCCCTTCGATCAGCTTCGAAAGCAAGGAGGTCAGACATGATCTCAGCAGTGGCTCCACCTAGTTTCTACGTTAGAACCCAAATACAAATAGATAAGAAACTGAGAATTTAACAACGGAAAATGAAGCTTCTATATCTCAGTAATCTTCATTCACCTGACAGAACCTGTAGAAATCCTCTAGGTATGCCTTGTAGAGAGTGTTCCTCATTATTTCGATATTCATATCATCCAAATCCTAACAAAAATAAGAGGAAACGTCAAACCAGTGGCCATGAAGTCCAATACTATACTACTTAACAGACTAAATCATTGAAGGACAATAAAGCTGCACACCGATAATGCCTTAATATCGTAAAAACACATAAAGAGTTTCTCATATCGTCAGATATGATTTATGATGAAGTAATTATGCAAAGGAATCCAATTTAACTCAAAGCTACAATGAATGACTCAATTCTCTAATGGAGTGCTCTGGCAGCAATGCCTTGCAAAACTAAAAGCTCACGTAAGTTTTTTAGTCAAGAAAATGGAACATTATCAATTATGCATTTACAATTTAATTTGCAAATATAGTACACGTACAGGTATCATATCATGCAACATGCTCTACTGTTCTAAAGTAAGATGCAATAATAATAATAACCAAAGCCAATATGGGAATGGAGTCAAGCTTTATACCTCAGATGTGATACACTCAGAGAAGTATGGAGCCAAAGGGGTGTCAACAAGCACCAATCTATAAAGTTCCCGCATATTCTGAGCAACTGCCAAGGTAGCAATGCTAAAAAAGAATAAAAAGAAAAATAAATCATGAGTCTTTTTATACCATTAATATTTGAGTGAGATACACGTTTTTTCTTGCTTAGTAAGAAATGTCACACGACACTATCAGAACACAAAAGCTCTCATTTGACAGTACCTATCAAACATGCCCAACGGGTGGCACTTCTCCAACAGTTCCTGAACATCTCTCTCATGCAAGGTTCCAGTAACGATAAGGACAACATTGTCTATCATGTGACCATATCTGAGTAAAAAAAAAAATCCATCCAGTTGAAACTATGAGAATCAACAAAACAATAGACGCTGAAAAGGCAAAAATAACCTTCAGAAAAGAAACTCGACATACGTGATATACTCTAAGAACGTGGACAAGGGCTCTGTGGCTTGGCACAACATGTGTTTATACTCATCAACCAGTTTAAGGGTGCATTTCTCCACAATTGTTGTTGTATGCAATGGAGATGGTTCTACAAAATAATTTGAAATTAGCTAATAAAATCTTACACCTTCAAGTAAGAAATGTAACCGTCCACGTAGGTACAGGATGACAAGTTAGACTAGCCCATACACTATTCACATAAGATCTTCATAGAGTAATATTAATTAATCTAGAACTTACGCATTGTGCAATATGCTATTTCTCATATTATTAACTACAATTATGGTCGGTCTCTTCATGCTGTCCTTTTCTAACAGCCAGACAATCCCTATACTCCTGAATATGAATCCCAAATCGTCGATGAACTCTGAGTTACCATTTCCCATCATAAAATATCAGTATCACACAACAGAAAAACCAGTCCCCTACAAAAATAGAAATCCCTCTCCTTAAAAAGAGACAGATATAATGTGAGAGGTCCCAACGTTTATCAAATGAAAAAAGGGAGGTCTCAACCGGAACCACATAAATCATCTGCATCTAGCACTTTCATAATCACTCTTCAGCTTCATAACACATATGTCAATCACGAAGAGGCTCTGTTTACAACTTCGACATTACAGACATGGGACTCGAGAATATACTGCGGAATCTGGAATCAGAAGCCTAGTTTCAAGTAGAACAACAGTACTAATATTCCTTGTTCAAATTCAATTATTAGTTGTGTCAAGATCCAAGCCCTTCGCTTCCATTTCCAATTTAATCGATAGCTGGAATCCTCAGAAAAATTAATCCCCTACCAATTTTCCAATCGTACAACTAATCCAACGATCTAAAAACACAAATTCCCCCAACTTCCACATCCAATTTCATAAGCCATCTAAGAAAAAAAAAAGGGAAAAAAAGGTTCACCCACCGTTTTGCAGATAAGGGCCATACTCAGTGGCAGAGAGGTGCATCTTGATATCATCAAGGGTTTCGCACTGACACAAATTGTTATAATCAGCGGCAGTCAGCAACCCAGCCCTATGTCCCCGAACGATGGCCTCCAAATAGCCTCCATGAATGTTGAACGTAAGCGCTTCGAAACCATACATTCTCTAGAAATTCGATCGAAACGAGGGGGAGATCCGGGGAGAGAGCAGTGGCAAGAAACCAAACGCCTCCTCCGAGAGAACCCTAAGGATGCAGAATTGAAAAGGGAATTCGCAAAGTTAGATGCAGACGAATGAAAAATAAGGCTTGGGAACCGGAAGAATATGAAGCTCTCTTTTTTTGCGATCCGAGTTGCAGAATCGGCAATTGATTATCAAAGAACTGATGAAGATGATGATCCCAATCGAATCGATCTGAATCTGATGGTGTCTTCAGACAGGTCCGAATAATATGCGAAATTACTGAATTGTCCTTTTCTTTTTTTCGCATTGAGTGGGCCTGCTGAAAACATGGGCTGGACTTTTGATTTTGGGCTTTGGATTTCAGTAAATGGGCTCTCTTGGCTGGTAAGCTCTGATAAGATCGTTCAGAACGTTTCTTTTTCTTTTATACTTTTTTTTAATATATATAATATTTTAATCATAAATTTTGATTTTCTTATTCTTTATTTGTAAGAAAATTTCTCAACATTTATTAAAAAAAATCTACTTTCTTGGTTATTATTTTTAGTAATTTAATTAAAAATGTTAGATAAATAAATTTCTCGAACATTAAAATTGTTATTTTTAATAGTTTAACAACTATGAATAAAATAATATTATTAATCGCCACGTGGACTTACGTGCGTTAATCTCTTGAGACAAAGTATTTTTTTTTTTTTTTTATAAATCTCTCGACTTTTAAGATAGATCGATAAACAAAATTGGTTAAAATTTATTGATGTGTCATTATATTATTTTTTATTAAATAAATTTCTTTTTTTTTTATATATAAATTTGAAAAAATTGGTTAGATAGTTAAAAATTTGACTAAAAAAAATGTAAGGATCAATAATAAGTTATAATATATATAAATAAAATAAAATTTGAAGAACCTTAATTGAGTTTTTTTTTTTTTTTTCTAAGAATAAATATTAATTGATTTTTTAAAATACTAAATTGTGAATTTTAGAAACCGGTACGTGGAGTCAAATTTGAAAGCCTTTTTTTTCTTTTACTAAAGTCAAATTTAAAAGAAAATTGTATTTCCACGTAAATAAAATAAATATGACATCATTTAATAGTTTTCGTTTTTCTAAAAAAATGCGAAATTCGTAATTTCTTCGGTGGGCCCACTCCTCCACCTCATGGGCATGACAAGGACTTATTTTCCTTTTTATTTAAAAATATATTTTTAAGGGTTTTTTTTTTTTAATTAAAAATTTATGTATTCTTAATATGTCTTTTGAAATTTTAGGATCATATAACTTATATAACCCGTGTTAGCATTGATTTCGTCTAACTATCTTAACTCAACTTTATTCTATTTTAAAAAAAAATTAAAAATATTTAACATTTGTAACCAAGATTTTAATTATTAATTAACTCGACAACCCAACTCAGCTAAAAAAGAGAAAGTTGGATGGGACTGTGAACTCTATTCGAGTCACCAACTCAACTAACTTAATAGGTTTAAAGTATTTCTGTTATTCAATTCAACCGGCATACACCATTTACCTCGTAAATGTCAATTTTTTTTTCTTTCTTTCTAAAAATAAAGTATTTATCTTAAGATTCAACCCTTTCTAAAAAAACATGTTTCCATAAGTCCCATATTTCAAGCAAGAAAAAGCTTTCAAAGATGAGTCACTTTCACTAAAAGTTAAATGTGAATATTAACAAAAACGCCAATCTCTCCTCACATTCATAAAATTAAAAAAAGATTCTTATGGTATCTTTGTCGCAACACGACACTATAATATTATCTTATTTAAACATAAGTTTTAATGACATTGGATTTAAAATTATTTACAAATTTCAAACCAATGAACTTTGGTTTTACGACTGTATCTTTTAAAAATAATTTCATTACCTGATATGAAAATATTTTTTTTACGTTGAAAAAAAAAACTTTAATGGTTAAATATGGGGAATATAATTTCTAAAGTTTAAAAATTAGTAAAATATAACCATTATTCCAAATATTATAAAATATGAAAAATTATGAAAACAAAAAAACATTATGAATAAACATTTTACATTTTTTTTAACAAGTTAAAATGTTTGTTATATGTTGATACATTTTTTTATATTTTTTATAAAATAATAAGAATTTTGATTCATCTCAATATTGATATCAAACTGAAACAAGACACGTGTAAAAATGGGAAGCTAACACTTTAACAAAAAAAGGAAAAGAAAATAATAATGAAGACGTGGAAGAAGCCAAGTCATGTGCAAGGCACCTGGCATCCACGTGAGGGCATGCTTCGACACGTTACAGCCGGCAAGGCACAAAACACACACTAGGTGGGGCCCACAAAATTCGGATTCCATTGGGGGAATAATATAATAACGGGACAGTGTTCTTTTGACTGGTACGAGGAAACTTGCTATTGGTTAAGTGTTTGATGACGTGTCCTCTATTTTTGGTGCTATTAAAATATCTCTACCTTTTCCCCTCACGTTTGTTTGACTTTTTTTTTTCTTTTTTCTTTTTCTTTTTTTGATTGTGATCTCCTAACGCATAATTGATATTGAAGTGCCTTTTCTTTCCTATTATTATTTATTTTGTTAAAAAAAAAAATCTTTTAAATTTAAAAAATATTTGTTTCTAGTTTCAAAATTAAATTAATATTCAAAAGGACGAAGTTCTAATTTTATTTTTTTAAACATTTTAAAAACGTTGAAAAGATTAATTTAATAAATCATGTGGTTTAGTTAATTTTTTAACAAAAAAAAAATATTTAATGAAAATAATTCTTTCTCTTTTTCAGATTTAAATTTAGTATTTATTAGAATATTTAAATTTCAAAATTATAGAGAATTTGTTCTGCAAAAATAATACTATGAAGATTTAATATGCTAAAATGAACCAGCAAGAAGCCATAACGTGACAAGATACAACTTAAGTGGGTCGAGTATTTAATTTTAATTAAAACTCATTGTATAATAAAAATATATTATATTTATTATTATTTTCTATTATCTACAGATACATATTAGGTATCATATTAATATGTGTCTATATCTATAGAGAAAAATAAATAATAGATATTTAGTTATTTTATTCGTTTTTTTTTTTTTTGAATAAAAAGAAGTAAATGTATTGAAGGTCATGTTCCTTATTTTCTTGTTCAAATCATCAAACTCGATCTGAAAATCTATGTTTACAAATAATGAATATAATACCATTTTGTTAACCATATCTTATAAATTTTTTTTGTCATTTTGTTAATCACGTCGTCTCCAACCTATTCCTTCTAGAATATATCAACCCAACTCAACTGAAATATCATGTCGATCAAGCTGTCCTATGCTACAAGAAGGTTAGGCTCAAAACTCGACGACAAAAAACATCTAAAAAATTAAAATTAAAAAGGATAGATCCATTGAATTTCCTAATTTTACTTTTGCATTCCCTTACGACATAGTCATGTTACATACTCTTTATTTATAAGAGTAAAAATTATCCCCACAGACAAACATATGTCCTTCTAGAATGTTTTGTTCTCGATTGGACGGCAAATGAAGATGCATTTTATTGGTTTAGGTAGTGATTTTTAGCTATTTTAAGTCTTTCCTCGTATTCAAATATAACATTGATTTATTCACGTACCCTTTCTTTAGTTAGATGTCACAAAAACACTTCAAATATAATCGGAAATATATACAAGAAATTAGGTAAAAAAATTAGAAAATGATTAAAAATAAATAAAAATAATTAAAATATAATTTAATTTTCCTAAGTATATTAGGAAGAAAAAAAAAGTGTTTATTTTTATTTAAAATTAAAATATTTATTAAAAAAAAAACAAAATCCGCTGTTTGGAACAGCCCACTGGAATGGTTGGGAATGGCCCCTGGTTTTCTCTTCTTCAAACCCATCTCTCTCTCTCTCCGCTAAAACCTCTTTTATATCCCTTCTTTCTCCTTTCTCCGTTCTCGTCTACAGATATCCTCATTTTTTCATCTCCCTTCAATCCTTACCCTGTTTCTTCTTGCAATTCTATCCAGATCTCCGTTTTTCACCAATTGCTCCACTTTTCGCCTTCAATTTTCCACCGTTTTTTTTGAAATTTTAATGGGGTTTGAGAGGTCTTTGGCTGATCGCAAGGGGAAACAGTTTTTTGAATTGCCCAAAGAAACTACTAAGAACAATAAATCCAGGAAGAATCGGCGGCGCTCTAAGAAACCCTCCTCGCCGATTCAGAAACTTTACGAGACATGTAAGCAAGTATTTGCCTCTACTGAAACTGGAATTGTTCCCTCTCTTGAGGATATCCAACGCCTGCAATCTGTTCTCGGTATGTCTTTACTTTCGTTTTTCATTTTTCTTGTAAAATTTCTGATCGGACCAACCCTACATTGTTTTGAATTGAATTCCCAATTCTGATTGATAATGTGGTTTGATGTTATGATTATTCGCTTTGTTTGTGGGGTTTTAAAATTGATGATCCGTACTATCTGGGAAAGGTTTTGTGAATTTTTCTTGGGTTTCCTTCTTATTTGTTGTTTCTGTACTTTTCATTTTGGATCGTGGGTTTTAAGATATATATATATATATATATTTTTTAGCTTGGTCTCTTCGGCTGTTGCTGGGAACTTGTACTGCTCCTGCACGTGCTGTTCTAGATATTGGTGCTTTGAGTTATTTTAGTTGGATAATGATTGTCTTCAACAATGGATTTGGTTTTTCTATTCAATGATTGAATTTGAGCTTTTATCTGGAAATTACAAACTGTTTCAAGTTCCATGGTTATAGAATAAGTTTGTAAGTTTTTTTATGTTCTAACGCTGATTAGAACCTGTTGGCAAGTTTTATAAATCTTAATTCATCGAAGTCCTGGAAACTGGCTGACCTGCATTTTGTGTTACTAATGTTTCTTGTATATAGATAAAATGAAGGCAGTAGATGTCGGGTTGTCGCCGGAGATGCCGTATTTTCGTACCACAGCTGATGAAGGGACTCCTCCTATAACGTATTTGCACCTCTATGAGAACAACAAATTCTCCGTATGCATTTTCTGTTGCTTTATTAGGAAGCTGTCTAGCTGGGGAAGCTATACTTTTAAGTGATGTACTTTTTGACCATTTTGAGTTTTGGTTGTGTTGCAGATGGGGATATTTTGCCTGCCTCCTTCAGGTGTCATTCCACTTCACAACCATCCTGGAATGACAGTCTTCAGCAAGCTTCTCTTTGGGACTATGCACATCAAAGCGTATGATTGGGCAGAGGTCGGTGCCGAGAATGGCATATTAGCGAGTGTCGATGCTTCAAACGGCACAGCTCCCTCAAGTGAGTCTCAATACAATATTGTTCTGTACTCTCTCAGCAGTTCGTTGATATGGATGGAAATGTCTATTATAGTTTGATGTTTGATGGGTAGTTGTCTGGTGTGAGAACATAAGCTGGATGACATGTCCTGTTACAAAACCAAAATTGATAGGCCAACCCGAGCAACTAGTCAAGGCATTGTAGCATTGACCTAAAAGTTAGAAGTTCAAAGGGTTTGCTAATGATCATATATCAGTATATGTGTAACGGCCCAAGCCCACCACTAGTAGATATGGTTCTCTTTAGGCTTTCCCTCAAGGTTTTTAAAACGTGTCTGCTAGTGAGAGGATTCCACACACTTATAAAGAATATTTCGTTATCCTTCCCAACCAATGTGGGATCTCACAATCCACCTCCCTCTAGGGCCTAGCGTCCTTGCTAGCACTTGTTTCCTTCTCCAATTGATGTGGGACCACCAATCTACCCTCATTTGGGGCCCAACGTCCTTGCTGGCACACTACCTCGTGTCCACCCTGTTCGGGACTTGGCCTCCTCGTTGGCACATCACCCAGTGTCTGGCTTTAGTACTATTTGTAATGGCTCAAGCCCATTGCTAGTAGATATTATCTTCTTCGGGCTTTCCCTTTACTCAAGATTTTTAAAACGCATTTGCTAGGGAGAGGTTTCCACACCCTTACAAAGAAGGTTCCGTTCGATGTGGGATTTTACAGTATGAACTTTTTTTGTGTGTTTAATTGTTGAGATTAGTTGGGATGCAAATGATCCTGATACATTTATTGAAAAGAATCTCAAATCTTCTGGCCTTTGTCTTTATGGTTCGTAAAACTTAACGAACATATCACAATTTAGAGAAGATAAACTAATTTTGAGTTATAATAAACAGAGGGAAGAGTGATGGTTTTAAGCAAGTAAGATTCCAATCTATCAGCATTTACATCTCCAGGTATTAGGTTGGCCAAAGTTAAGGTAGATGCCAACTTCACAGCACCATGCGACTCGACCATTCTCTACCCTGCAGATGGTGGAAACATGCATTGCTTCACAGCCGTGACAGCATGTGCAGTGTTAGATGTACTTGGCCCACCTTACTCTGATCACGACGGTCGTCATTGCTCATATTACCTCGACTTTCCCTTCACCAAATTTTCAGGTACGTACTGTTGCAACTTTGTCGTAGTGTTGTTTTACCTCCAAAGCAGCAGCAGATGTTGACATGATAATTTTAATCGAAAAACAGCAGTGGATGGGAAATCGATCCCAGAAGCAGAGAGGGAAAGCTATGCTTGGCTTGAAGAAAGAGAGCAACCTGAAGACTTAGCAGCCGTTGGAGCAGAGTACATAGGGCCTAAGATAGTAGAGAGTAGGTGAATTCTGCAAACAAATCTTGTTCATTTGATACAAAATATGCTGTTCATGGATTGGGACTGCCACCTCTTCTGTGCAGCATATAATCTTTGTTTTAGTTTTGATCTTCCTTGTATATAGTTAAGTTAGATAGTGATAAGCAAAAAGAAGTATGGATTTGTTATGTTCTTCCAATAACTATTCCAGTTTGTTCATGTTTTAACAGATGCACTTCAAAAAAATGAGAAAAAAACACAAAATGAAAGGCTTCTTTCCAGATTTTCCTCTCTTTCTTGTCCAAATTCATTAGTAGACGTGTTTCTGTTTATCGACAATATCTTTAGCAACGAGAAACCTTCAAACTTGTAAACTCTCAATATCCAAACAAAAACTATAATTCCAAGAACAGAACATCCAAGATCAGAAGTTACAGAACATGATAGCTTGGAGATAAAAACAAAGAAATCCCGTTAATCCAACAAGGGAGACTTTTCTATTCCATTAGATTCACTCACTGATGCAGAAAAGTACACAATAACATATACATTGTACATGTTAATCAAAACAAAACAAAACAAAACGCCACTATGGGAAAACGTGCCTTAATAAAAAACTACAAAAACGCACCAATTACATATCACTATTTAGAATCTATTAAACGTCTAATCCTTTCTATGCCTAATTCTCTAAACTAGGGGAACATGTGAGTCGGGTTGATAATTTTTTTTGGATCATTTTGCAAATGTATTGAAAATAATTCTCTCACAATCGTGTCAATAACATTGCTAAATTGGGTGGCAATATCACACAACGGCTCCCCCCAACTTATCGATAATCTTTATTAGAAGTCTATCGTAGATATTATCATATTTGTCCACCTCAATATTCTTTGAGTATACCTCCATAGGTAACCTATAGTGACTCGTCATTTAACCTATAGGGACTCATTGTCCGGTGAGTAAGGATGTTTGTTTAACCAACCCATAAGAACCCGTCTCGAAAAATTATGAGTTGAAGGCTACTTACTTTGACGATGGAAAAATGTGTTCCAATTTACGCCTAAACCAATACGATTGATGTGTTGAAATCTTTTGTGAAAGGCCATGCTGATCGCTGTCTTTTTGCTCGTGAACTTGTGGTTTCAGATCATAGCGGCCCACCTTCTTCATCACCGGGCCTTTGGGCTTCTCAGCGGCGAGCGAAAGAGCGTGGAAGAAAACGATGGCGGCCATGGCCTTGCTCTCTTGGTCGCTTGTTTCTCCATTTTTTCCCAAACAGCGTATCATCGCCCACGAAGCACCAGGTTCTCAATTCGCAGTTCGAACCACATTTCGCCTCTCTTTTTGGTTGGTTTTACATCGTTACTGTACTGATTTGCTCCTTTGGCATTTAATCTTTGGTGGGATTCTCAGATAATTTGAAACTTCGCGCTCTGATTTCAAGGGGTTTTGGCGGAGCCATTGGAGGTGAATGTAAATCTTTGGAGATAAATCGTTTACTGTGTTCTTGCGCTTCGTCGTCCTCTTCAATGTCTCCGATTGAGGCGTCGAAGGGGGTGTGGATTTGGAGTGTGGATCGGCAGGTTATGACGGCGGCGGTTGAGAGGGGATGGAGTACCTTCATCTTCTCGCCTCATAATAAGGAGCTTGCTGATGAATGGTCCTGTAAGCTTTTCGTTTCACTTTCTGTTTAACTGATGAGATTTCGATTCGTTATTGCACTTCTTAAAACGTAAACCTTATACCTTTCCATGTCATTTTGCTGGCGCATGACACTCATCTTTTATGTCAAGAATGCTTTCAAAAAGTGTGTCTAAGAATGGATACTTGGGTTTGGCTCAACTCATCTTTAATGGTCTTGAATGTCTTCCCAAGATGGGTTATATAATTCATTTCGGCTGGAGAATAATTCCATGATCTTGTCTTACAAGAGGGGATGCTCTTTTTAGCTATTTGATGTTGAAACAAAACAAAAAAGCAAGTTTTAAATAGAAACTTATAGAAAATAATGGATAAAATCGACACAATTTCTTTTCTCGTAGTGTCACGAAATTTCTTAAGATTATAATTGCCCTGCAATGTTGAAAGTGTTAGAGAGTATGAGTCGAAGAGATTTTTTTCCGCATATTAGACATGTCATGCATGGAGTGACAACCTTATTTTTAATAGGAAAATAGGGTTGTTAATGTTGGTATCGGAGATGCACAACATAAGTGTGGTGGTCATGTGACACTTGAGTAAAGGAGTACATGAATGAACTAAGGTTACATCTGAATGAGAGTGATCTTGAGGATAGGATGACTATGAAAGGCTTAAAAGAATTGAAAGTCATTACCTGTACTAATAGGGTGTACCTTCCTTTTCAGTAGTTCAATCATAGAAACTTCATGGTTAAGTATGCTTTGCTTGGAGTAATTATATGTTGAGTGATCTCTTTGAAATTTTCCTAGGATGCACGTGAGTGTGGACAATACGTGCTGGAAGGATTTGTGTTGGTTTGTACGGATAGTCTTCACTCTTATAAGCGAGAAGTAAGTAATGTTGTGATCATGTCAGAGGGGTGTGCTAGCAAGATGTAAGTTGTGAGAGATGGGCAAGTTTAGGGTTTAAGTTTTAAAAAGGGTAATAATGACGTTTCATCCCTTGTAACTTTAGCAAAGACTTATTAGTTATTATTCTCTATTCAATGTCTCAAAAGTCTATCACTTAAAATTTGTCACATTTAAATAACATTAGCTCACAGAAAACAATATATACTTTAAACGATAAATCACCGGTCCATTGTTTAATATTAACGGTGTTATTGAGTAGATATCAGCTTTATAATTTTGATATCTTGAGTACAAAAGCATATTTGGTTTTCTGATGAGTTTATCGATTAGATATATTTGGTCCGAAAGTGTCATGATCACTGAATTCTTTTGAGGATTCTAATTTGAAGTTTGGTGTTCGATTGCCCAGCAATTGCACTAATAAGCCCACTTTTTATCAACGAGGACGGAGTTTTCGATGGAGAGGGTAGACTAATTGCCACAGTTATCGAGGTTTCTAACCCCCAGCAGTTGGAGCAGCTTCAGCCATCAAATGCATCAGTAGACAATGTTATTGTGGATTTACAAGATTGGCAGGTTCGTAGTTGCTTGCTTACAAGTCTGTTGGTTGAATCATCCTTTAGCTGGCTATGCATGTATAATTTAGAGAAGGGACTGCAAGAATGATTTTGAATTGTCTGGATGAGTGTGTAAACACTGGTGATAAATCTGTTCTATTTAGGGGTTAAAACAACCTTGCTGTGAATATTGATAATTTTTAAGTGATTCTTTTTATGTTCAGATAATACCTGCGGAGAATATTGTTGCAGCGTTTCAGGGGAGTCGAAAAACTGTATTTGCAGTCTCGAAAACTCCTATCGAAGCTCAAATCTTCCTCGAGGTGCATATTTTTGAGGCTGTATCAGTGTGGAAAGATGGACTAAATAATATTATTGTACTATATGTCATTTTCGTAGCATCATAAGATATGATTTGAATTCGTTTTCGTTTCTAGGCACTTGAACACGGTCTGGGTGGAGTTATTTTGAAAGTTGAAGATCCTGAAGCTGTTTTTCAGCTAAAGGTGGTTTATCATTTTGCTTGATTTGTTTCAGTGCAAAGTCTTGCTTCTTATATTGTTTTAGTATCATTAGGACTATTTTGACAGAAGAAATGAAGCTAGTAATCTTCTTAGCTTGACTAAAGCTACTATAACTCATATTCATGTCGCTGGAATGGGAGATCGAGTTTGTGTCGATCTCTGCAGTCTCATGAGACCTGGTGAAGGACTTCTAGTAATCCTCCATTCTCTTCTCTTAATATTGCTCTCCTAGCTTCTAGTTTAGCATCTAAACGGATGAAATTCTTCTGTAGGTTGGGTCCTACGCCAGAGGACTATTTTTAGTTCACTCGGAATGCTTAGAGTCAAATTACATTGCAAGCCGACCTTTTCGAGTCAATGCTGTGAGTTCGGCATAATATTTTGGCTCTATTAGTCTCAGCACGCCAGAAGAATTGTACTCCTTTATTCTTTTGTAGCCTTTTCATCATCTTTGATTTGTGAATGTTCAGGGACCAGTCCATGCCTATGTAGCTGTCCCAGGAGATAAAACGAGCTACCTTTCTGAGTTACGAGCAGGCAAAGAGGTAATCGTAGTTGATCAAGAAGGCAGGCAACGAACCGCTATTGTTGGGCGTGTAAAGATAGAGACTAGGCAGCTGGTACTCATCCAGGCAAAGGTACACTTGGTGTTTTTATCCGAATCTTGCGTAGTAGTTCGATCTATTGATGTTTCTATGAATCGAGAACTAAAAAGGATTCTTCCATAGTATCTCTGCTGCTGCTTACTTTGAATCTTATGATCCCAGCTGAATTTTGTATGTCTGTTTATTTGGGTGTGATGCTAGAAATGACTTGCTAGAATAATTTACTATTGGCAGAGAGATTCAGATGAGCAAACTCTGTACAGCATCCTCCTGCAGAACGCAGAAACGGTTGCCTTAGTCTGCCCCGGTCGAGGTCGATGATTCGTATCTCAAATTAGAGTTTTGTATTGCTTTGCTTTGCTTTCTTCTCCAAAATTTGGCTTCAATGTTGTGCAGGAAATGAGAAGAAAGCCATCCCTGTTACCTCACTTAAAGTTGGCGATGAAGTGTTCTTGAGACTGCAAGGAGAAGCAAGGCATACAGGTATTGAAATCCAGGAGTTTATTGTAGAGAAATGATTGTTAAGCTATTTTGAGTGAAATACTGAAACCAAATGGTATAATTTTTTTTTATGCTAATCTCTTCCAAAGTTATAGGTACATGAAAATGACTAAAATATCATCGTACTATCTCCGTGTCTCTCATCGTTGTAATCTTACCACTAACGATCACACCAACGACTACTTCCGTGAGCATCGATGATGAATATGGTCTTAGTGTTTATTCATTGTCGTTTATAGTAATTTAATATTAGAAGCATCTTGAGAGTAAAACAAATCATTGTGTTTACTCAAATTAGTGTTGGCTCATTGTCGTTTATAGTAATTTGATATTAGAAGCTTTGTCGTTTATAGTAATTTCTCGAATTGATAATGAACAACCTAATTTTTCATTTTGAACTTAAAAATTACTATCGGCAATGGCTATAAAGCCTGAAAACACTCATCACTAATCAACTCCAAATACCCTAAGACGGATTATTATCACCATCTATTTTTGTGAGATTCCACATCGATTGGAGAGGGACGAGTGCTAGTAAGGAC